ATACTATATGAATTTCTCTCTCTTATGCACGAGTTATCTGACATGGAATGACTTCCCTTTAGTTTGGAATCACTAATTCTGATGTGCAAAATTTATGTTATTCAGAAAGGCTGTTAATAAAACCAATGACACAGGCTAAATGAAAACTTTTAGCTTCATACATTTCCCCAATATATGAAACCTAGACATGTAATTCCTTATTAAAGGTATTCAAAGTAAAATTTGGAATTTTATGAGAAATGTCATGAAAACGAAACTGAACTTTTCATACAGCCTTTAAGTCTAACCAATTAAAATATTTATTAAGCTTTTCAAAATTTTGTATCTTTATTTGCAAAATTCATGAAGAAATTAGAAAATAAATTTATTAATTTAAATTGCTTTTCAGAATATATTTTCAAGTGAAATTATATATTGATCTAAACTTAAGGGAGCTAGTGCAAAACATAAATGATTCATTAGGTGATTAATCATTCAGTTTTAAGTAAAATAGCATTTTGTAGCTGGTCTTGATAAAACTCATTTCTTAAGTCTAATGAAACATAGTTATTCTAGACAGTGAAAACAATAGTTTAATGTGAAAAGATAGCTTTGTAATAAATAGAGGAAAATTTTTGTATTATTTATATTTTATATAAATTTTTAATATATTATATAATAAAAATTTAATATTTTATATTTATATATATTTAATATTTCTATTTTTTGCTTTATATTTTATATTAAAACACTGCAATAAAATATTTCTTACATGTAGTGAAAGTTCCCCTATCTTTTTGTCCTGTAAGGATCACTTGAAAATTTCTAGCTCACTATTAAAAGAATTTTTAAAAAATGTCCATCCTCATCATGAATTTTTTTGTAACTGAAAACACATCTAAGAGTAAAATATGTAAGGAAATAGTCAGCAGCCACAGCTGTTTATTTACCATAAAGCCAATGAGCTAACCCTTGACGAGAAAAAGGAATTGTTTCACATATCAAGTTGGCCAGAATATAAATACAAAACTTTAAAACCCTTTAATATTCTTTTCTTGGATTATGTGCAATATTAATACCCTCTTTGCAAAAAAATGCCATAAGATTGTTATCCTTGTGCAATTTGTACACAGCAAATAATAAAATTTGAATTGAAGAAAATGATCTGTGTATCTTGAACATCAATGGCACATTTTATGCACAGACTAAATACTTCATAATAAGAATAGGTATTAGGTCTATTAACAACAAAAAAATTATGAATCAATGATGTATAGAACAGATAATAGAAAAACATTTCCAATTTAAAACTCTATAAGGAATTTAACTAAAATCACTAATCTAAATTCTATCTAATTTTAAAGATTTCTGTGATTTTTAGGTCTTCATGTAAATATAACACATTTTTTTTAGCTGTTCTTGACATTATTTGCAATAAACTCAAATATACTGCATAAACGTATACGGGGGGGGGGGAAGTTTAATAATAAAATTTATTTATTTTATGACTAGCATAATAGTATAAATTACAATAAATAATTATGAAACTCCTAGTTAAAAATAATTTCAATATAATAATAGTCAAAGCAATTGAATAATGTTAAAAAAATTATACAAAAATGAAAGCCTGAAAAAATATAAATATTGTATTTTTTAATATTTATTTATCACCTTATAAGTAACCATGGGTTGTGCTGGTTTATAAATTCATAATATAAAACACATACAAACAAGAAAGTAGAAAGATACCTTAATGTCAGGTACAAGAAGATTGGTACTTAATAGCCAAACAAAAAGGCACAATAAAAATTTGAAAGGATAACTGGAAATACCCTTCACACAAGATACAGGCAAAATTATGTTGGTCATTTAGGAATATCACAAGCACAAAATTTATATACAGGTAGTAAAGTGCAGCTTGGAAAATGAGAGTGTTGGAAGCACAAGATTAAAAAAAAAAAAATTTCTGAATTAATAAATTAAAAAAAAATATCACTAAAACAACATTATTGCTGGTTAGAATAAGTAAATAAAAACCTTTTAAAAAAATCCGAAAAGAAATTTCAACTAAACTGTTAAAACCATGTTCATGAAAAAATTAATACAGTAACCTTTAGATACTTGGAAATACTATCTCTGAGAAACAAGACTTCTCAGGAGAGATGCTTGTTGTAATGCTAAGATAAATAGGGACAAAATTTAAAGAAACAGAAGAATCACATTTTGTTCCTCTCTCTCATGGACAATAAAAATGCAATAAAAATATTAATCTTGCAGGGAACAAACAAGATGTTAAAAGAATGAAAGCTTAAAATAAATTGAAATAAATAACCAGTGTACAATTAAACAGGTGCAAACTTTTTTCAATTACTTTACTTTTTCAATTTTTTTAAATGTTTATTGCATATATCTTATATAAAAATGACATTTTAAAATAAAGAGTTTGCTGCAACTATAAATATATTTAATCAGGTATGATACTCTTAATATTTTTCACCACCTCTTTGAAATTTTGGTTATATTTAACATACATAATATGAAAAATTATTTCCTAGCCTGATACACTGTTCTGTGTTGTCATTAAGATTTATATTTATGTCTATACTCCCATTAAATTAAAAATTTTTTAAACTTAAATCATATATATATATATATATATATGATACACTGATGAGTGTACATTTAAGTTGTTACAAACTTAAATATATATTCTGTTTCTATAAGTAGATTTACAATTAAATATTTTTCTCTCTTAAATTTTAACAGTGTTATGAATTAATGTAACTTCCTTTATATTACCCTTATCTGCATGTCTGAAAGATGCCTTATCTGCATGATACAATTAAGAACCAAAATGATTACATTCTATCGTATTGTTTTTACATCTTAGCTTTGAAATATATAGCTACACTCTTAAATGCAGTTTTCCAAAGAAAACCATATTTCTTATACAGAGCTGAAATTATACACTAATTTTTCAATACATGAATAGCAGCAAAGCTAACTTAATTTCTATTTTGGATATTATTTTATTTATCGTAGTTGACGGCATATAAGACGCACTGGCATATGTGACGCACCCTTATTTAGAAGGCCACACACAAGGAAAAAAAGTTTCAATAGTCCGTGCGACAGCGCGGTACCACAATAACTTAAAATGTGGTTTCTTTTAGTTCTCACGTTTTGTAAAAGCCAAGTAAACAATCATTGAATGCAATTACCAAACATATTTTTATTAATGAAAATTAACAAACGGCAAGCTATTTTGAACATGATATGTAAATTTCAATAATGAATAAATGAATGAACGGCAAGCAATCAAAGGCATGGTTATGTTTTTGTTTTTTAGCAGTGTTCAGTTGATCTTCCAGCAGTCGCCAAGTACGTATCATTTTTTCGGTAGGTGGTGGACCAAAATTCCTTGCTGCTGCTGTGTTTCCATGCACTTTGGCGTAGTTTAACACTCCTAGTTTATACTGAATTGTATAGCTTAATCTCGTGTTTCCTGTATTCTTATCTTCCAGGGTATTTTTTTTAAACAAATAGTTTTAAGCACCGATACCGACACGTTTATACACAGTAGCACCGATTCCGACACGTGTGTCGGCTGAGTCAAAGAAAGTCTACGTAAAGAAAGGAAAGGCTCCATAGACGCAATGTGACCGTCGAACCTGTTCGAACTTTGACATCAGCTTAACTTTGCGATGTTAAAGCAAACTTTTGGTGCTTTTTGGCGACAGATATTTCACGCATGCGCAAAATAATTATGGCAGATGTAGAAAAAAGTTATGTGTGTCTGCCTTTATCCGGGCTAAAAATAGCATTCAGTATTGAAAGTTAACCTGTGTCCTTCACGTATAAGACACAGGTAACTTTTTTTAGACCAAATTTAGGAAAAAAAGTGCGTCTTATATGCCATCAAATACGGTAATCCTCAGCCTTCTGATGTGTCTGTAAATCACTAAAATGCAAAATACTATTATTATCATCATTATCTGGGGAAGCTAAATTCTATGGAATCCACAATCAAAATTTTGTTTTATGATCTAATAAATACGTTGCTGCACATAACAGACTACTTCATTTCAATGTGCAAGGTAGGACCTGCTTTTGTTTAGGTATATTGTACAGCACAGAATATTTTTAACTATTTTAACATTGGTCAATTTCATAATCTGCTCTTCCTAAGCTCCTGCGTTAATGAATTTCTATTAGCATAAAATCTCCAACACCCCAGAAATAAACTGCCAAGAACTTAATAATTGCTTATTTTTTTAATTAGATTTTTTATTATGTTGCCAGTTTATGGTTTTGTTTCATAGCTGGGCTGTAAAATAGTAATTATCAATAACAGTAAGACAACAATGCAGAATAGTAACATGAAGTGAAGTGCTTATGCTAAACAGAAATGATCCACTCAAGTAAGATATATTTTCAGATAACAATACAAGAATGACTGATAATTCATTCAACATGTCTGGAAAATTAATGTATATGTATTAACACGATGGGAAAGAGCACTACGACTGGGCAGTCAGGTAACTAACTACCCTTTGTTTGCATGTACAGGCACCTGGGGTATTTTCATTACAAAACAGCTGAATGTAGAAAGATATTTATTTCTCTTCCACAAGAAATAAAAGCATGTCAATATTAGATGTAGCTAAAGGTCACTGTATATTAATTACGATGTGTACAAAAAGCTTTAGGAATAATAAAAAATGCATTAGAAATGGTAATAAAGGTGTTTCAATAAATATGGTACATAATTATTAGAATATCTTAAATAAATACTATTCATAATTTAATGCTAAGTTACCTGAATACAAAATATTGATAGAATGATATTTTAATATACTATTACATTTAAAAATGAATAATTCTGAAAAAAGTTCTGTAGAACAATATGGTTATTAAAATGATAATTGATGTTTTCATGCATCAATAATCTTTTCATGCAAATGCATTAAATCCTAAAATAGAATAGAACAGAACAAAATCGAAGAGACACCACATAAGTCTTAGTTCTTAAAAATTTTTTAGAATATTTATTTAGCTATCACTAAATGAAAATATTTCCTCAGCAGATAGTCTAATTCTAATAACAACAATTACTGATAATTCTTAAATGTGTAATCTATTTTATACACTGATGAGTGTAAGCCATCATCTAAGAGTATGCATTCAAGAAATCTGAGATTTAACTTTTAATCTACTCTGTGCTTTACAGTTTTCTATTCTGGTACTTACATCCATCTGAAGCTACTATTGAATTTATTGCATTTTGTTCTCATTAATATAACATTTAGTTTAATATTTTATTAAACATTTAAGCAGAGGTAAAGAATAGCTGTGTAAACATTAAATGGTCAACTTATAAGTTGCAAACATCAGATCCTAAATAACACTCAATCCTCAATTGATTAATCATGCATAAAAAGAACTTTATTTACTATTAAAAAAAATTCTAAAATAATAGAATACTTTTCTGTGCTAAAAAGTGACAAATTACTTTTCACATATATTATTTCTATGTAAACTTCTCTGAAGCGTAAAATATCCCAATAAAATTAAAGGAGAGAAAAATATGTCCTTAATTTTCTCTCACTGCACCTTTAAATCAGCACAGCTTCTTAGTATTACTTAATATCACTGGGTTTTATCAGCATCTATTTTAAAAATTGAACTTATTAAATTTTGTTTTACTTAATAACCTTGCCTTCTTACAATATTTCTATTGAATATTCCAAATGAATGCAATAATGAATCATCCAATATTAAACTGAGGATTGAGTGTAACTTTATCTAGGAAGATTATATTTAAAACAGAAACAAAACACTGTATAGAAGAACCATATTTCACAGACGATTTTTCTTTGAATACTTTGCAAATGTGACCAGAAGCTCACCAATTAATAAACATTTAAACTATGCCAAGGCACTTTCATAGTTTATCAAATCTGAATAATATACAAATCGAAGAGATCCACAGATTAATAAAGTTTGCCAATAAAGTTTGCAGACATAAGTTAATGCAATCTATTTATTAGCATATGCATTAGGTCATTTTCATTACAAGAATACAAAATTAAATGCAACATTATATCTCAGTGAAGGCATTTTGTTTAATATCTTTAGAAAACTTAGTAATAACACTCAATAAGACAGTGATCTGAATAAAGTGATGAAACCTAAATGAAAAATTACAAATTAAATTTTTCTAATATATAACTGCCTGCTTAGGTTCATTTAACAATACTTTCAAAGTTAGTATTATGAAATTCTGAATAATTTAATAAAAATTCCTTCATATCTTAGTATTTTATGTTTCAGTTCTTAATATCTAAATATTTTAATTCAGTTTCTTGCTTCTTTTTAAATGTCGCCCCCCTTTTTGAAGTTTTAATAGTTAGATTTCTACTTATTTGTATTACTTTTATTTTACTTTCTCTTTTAACTCTTTCACTCCTGACAAGAAATAGGCTCAATATGTCCAGTTCTTATCAGAATCAAAGACTCACTTGATTATCAATTACTAAATATATATATATATAGTAGATATATATACACACACACACACCATAGCTGCCAACCTTGAAATATGAAAAACTGACAGATTTTCACACTGAATGGTGACATGATTAAAAAAAAAAACTGATTTAAATTGACTTTATAATGTATGATTCCGGTTACTAAACTATTTATAATATGCTTCTGAGGAAAATATATTAATATTTAATTATATATTCTAAATTTTATGAAGCCCTGTGGTGAAGTGGCTAGCACATCGCGCAGCTGCACCACAGGTTCAGAGTTCGATCCTCGGGCTGGGCAAGGTTGACTCAGACTTTTATCCCTTAGGTGGGTCGATAAAATGTGTACCAAGTTTGCTTGGAGACTAAACACCAGGGGTCCTGCAACAAGCTGACCACTTGTCTAGGGCATATGCTGATGCACTCCAATATCAAGCAAAGGTCAACAAAGAAAGAAAAAAAAAAAAAAAGTGCACTGCAGGCTGTGGCCCACTAAGGCCGTTGCACCTCTGAATTTAGTTTATTCTAAATTTTATAGTCATTGTGTAGCATCATTTTGTAATCTTTAAACATTTTCATAATAAAAGGGGAAAAAAAAATATCAATGTATGGTGAATGTAAAATGAATACACAATTTACCATATATTGATGTAAAATAAAATTAAATACAAATATTAACTTTAATATTGGTTGAATCTTTAAAAAATCTTCTGCAAATGTATACAATATATTGGGACAATTTAGATCAAAGAAAATTTACTAGGAGAAATATTGAAATTATAGGGAAAAGGGTTTTGCACAATTTAAGTTTTATTAATCCAATAAATTTAATTTATTTCTAGGAAACATTTTTAGCAGTTTTTCTTACTAAAAGACTAAAAACCGAGATTGAAGTATTGCAAGATGTGATGCAAAACTGGGAGAACTGGCAACTATGATACATGAATTTTGTGTATTAAATGCAGAATTAATATATAAACAATATATTGGCCATAACAGTTTAGTATTATAACTGCAATTTCAAAATGACATTTAGCTGATTTGTCAGACAAGTATCAAATTAAAAACTCATCACTGAGAGGGATATGTTAAATTATAGTATGAATGTTAATAATGACTTAAATTTTACCATAAAAACTACACATACTTCAAAAAATGAAGTCATAATTTTTATCTTTCATCCCTTAGGATCTTAGGATTTTTGCTACTAATGAAGAAATGCTCTTCATTAGTAGCAAAAATCAATTTGTAAAGATTCTTCTTATCCTGCACAGATTTCTTTTTCTTAAAGTTAACAAGGTCACACAAAACACATTATTTTAGATAAAATTAATATAAGCTTATGGAAATATAGACAGATGCTATTAAGTTAGTGTTTTTTAGTTAAATTTTTCATCAGTATGTACTACTAACAAATATTTTGGTACTTTTTGCTCTTTTATTACAAGGAACAATTTTTTAAAAATAAATACGTGTACTAACAAATATTTTTTAAATAAAATTATTTAGGATTTGTAATGAAATAGTTAATTTAGAAATTGAAGGAATTTGGAAATTACAACCTGTTAATAGGTATAATTTCGATGTTTGTTCCATAAATACCCATTTTAAAGTGTTATTGGCTAGACAACAGCTGCATGTTATGGATAAACTATATGCATAAAAGGCACTTTTAATTCATTAAAACTACTATATACAAGCAAAGGGTAATAGCAAAGCACAACTGTTTTGGAAAACCACTATAATAGAATATTAGATATCAAGCAAATGATATCTTGCAATTCATTAAGTTTAAAATCTCTCATTTACAACATTACATCAGGCCAACAATGGCTTGCAGATATTTCATTTGCATTCTTTGCCCAGTAAATCATTAAAATAAAACTTTGATGAAAAAAGTTAAATTTTATTACTGCAGGATGGAGGAGGAAGATAACAAAGGAAACTTGATAATCTATAGTAGATTCTCAGTTGAAGCTTATTAAATGGGATTTTTACTCCTTGAACAGAAGGAAATATTCTGTATATATTTATAAAGAATTTACACAGGAAAATCTGATTAGTTGGCAATTTAATTTTCTAAGAGTGTTTATTACTTGCAAGTTTTGTATGATGCTGCACTGCAAGTTTTGATTTCTTGTACTGACCATAAATGTAAAAAAAAAAAAAAAAAAAAAAAAAAAAAAAAAAAAACATAGTTTGAACAAATATGTACAATTTTCTCTATATCAAAAAAGAATCCAAATGCGTGTTATGTAGAACTATTTATTATTTCAAAATTTTTTCCTGATTAGTTAATTATATAATTATATCCTTCAAATCCACTTCAGTACGGGGGAAAAGGCAAAAGATTTTGAATGAATTATTTAACATTAAAATGGCAAATAGAATTCAAAACCACATACCCTTAAACCAACATTTACAAAAAGTTTTGTAGAAAAATATTCCGTTTCTATTGTGCAACGACTTCACTGTAATCAACATTCATTTCATCCATTTGCTAACATTTCTATGCCTCAAAGTGCAGGCAATTTAAAAAATATTCAAACTATAGTTGCAATTCCTGATTCATTTAACCATTCCATTTTATCACTTAATAGGAAACATGAGCTCTATGAGCCTACATAACATAAATAGCATAAAAAGTGCAGATATCACAATGGACACAAGCACATTCAATATTTTTTCACACCTAAATTGAATAGAATGAAAAGTTCATTCTGTCACAGTAGCTCTCAAATAATATGCTCTGGAATAATATTTATCATTCACTGAATAATCTTCTAACTTAAAATTCTTGAAGGAATAAACAAATTTTTCCTTCCTCTTACTGAAATACCAAAATTTCAATTCATTTTGCAGCTACTATTATCTTGTATATGTTAAAACATTTACAGACCACTAATGAAAACAACTGGACAGATTTAAATCATTTTACAGTTCATCCTCCTTATAAGAGTTTTAATTAAGGCATTTGAGAGCCACTGTCTAAAATAAGATAAATAATGTTGTTAATTACAACATACAATCTGTAAATAGTGATATAAATCTTAAAAATGCATAGAATTAATAAAACATACTAATTTATACATATATTTCAACTAGTAATCCAACCTGAAAGACTGTTCCTGTTTTATAGATTTTGCTTTTTAAATGTGCATTAGTCCGAATGTTATATAAGATTCAATTTTAAAGTATAAATGCCAATTATTACTTCATAAAAAATGCAGCAATAACCTACAAAAATTTCTCATGCTATAAATATTTTGTTAATTTTACTTGCATTTTAGAAAGTACTTTATTATACTAAATATAACATTACATTCTCATTTTAAATATCTATTCCCATAACATGTGAGTACAAAACAATTAGCTAGTCAGGAATGGATTTTATGGAATTTTAAGGAAAATCATTGCTAAAAACAACGATTTTTCATTTTTTTTTTCTTTATAGTATAAAAAAAATTTCTTACTTTTTTTAAAGTTTTTTTTTTTAAAAAACACATTTAAAGTATTATTACTGTTAACATGGTAACAAACATACACTTTTAATAGTTTCTGAGGCATGTACTTTCAAAAGATCACTTTATCTGAAAATTAATAACAATGGCTATTAAAGTTACACATTGAAAGACTTATAAATGCTAAAAACAGATTTGAATTAATCCATATTCATATTTAAGTTCGATCAGAAGAAAGAAAAATATTTCAGCTTCCAATTACTAGTTGTAACTATAATAATAAACAGGAAATCTGCACAATTGTTATTTCAAAATGCTTATGTAAAAGACCTTATACAGTTATTCAATTACGTATGAATATTTTTTATTTATTCAGATTTTAAATGCATTTAAAAACACAGGATCTACTTTCAGAGTGGAGAAACTAATTTTGAGCACTCTACATAATAATTTACAGAATATAAATTGAGACATTTACATCACTTCAAATAAGTTGCCTTTTCAGGCAGCAACAGTTGTCACGAGGACCTGGGGCTATCCCGATTTGGAGACTGACGTTTTGGTGAGGGGGGAGGGCCATACCTTCTGCAGATACCACCACATGGTTCTTTAGATTTTGTTGTAGCATGGTATATAACAAGAAGTTTCTTGCACTCCACTTCGTCTACCTGGAACGTCTGTTTCGGATAACGCTCCCTAAGACGACGCCTCTCCTGTATATGATATAAATTTTACACAGTATCCTTTTTAAGCAGTCTGAATTACTTTATCCTAGATAAATTAATTTAATATAATCCTACTACTCATATATATTCTCTGTGAAATTTTAAAAGATTCTCACAGGTATTCAAGTTTGATTATGAAAAGAATGTTATCAATGTTTTAAAAATATTACATAGGATATATATATATATATATATATAATATTCATCACTGAATGAACAGATTATTATATAAAGCTAATTAGGAGTATGTCTGGACAATTTTTGCTCTGAAAACAGCACCACCACACTTTGGCAGTGATTCAAAGAGATGTTTAAATTGACATGATAGCAGCATCTCCCACCATTCTGTTAGTGCCTGTTGTAAATCTTTCACATAATGTGATGGTAATTCAAAATTTAAAGAGAATATTCCAACTCATCTCACAAAATCTCAATGGGACTGAAACCTGGCAAACTGGGAGATTATGTGACTGTGCTACACACTCATTAATTAATTCTCTGCCAATTGTAAGTGAATAGCAACAAGATATTGGCTTATTATATACAGTACAAAGTCTGTAATCTGGACTCGTTGGGAATTTGGCGATTCCGGATTAGGGGTTTTTCCGAATTATAGATCATCAATTTAAATCTGGTAAGATGGCATGTAGAAATCATACAATAAAAAATATGAAATTGTAATTTATAAAATAAAGAACAATTATGATCTAAAGGATATCAAAATTTACAAAAAAAAAAAAAAAAAGCTTAATATTTATTTGTTTACTTTATTAAACATTTCTTTCAATGTAAGTTGTTTAAGATGCTTGCACAAAAAATTCAAAAAGTTCCTTTTTTGTGTGTCATATATAGTGGACTTTCCAATGCCATACTTCTCGCATAATTTTGAGACGAATAGATCTTTATCCATTTTTTGCAGCAATTCCACTTTTTGTTTAATGGACATCGAAACATGCTTTTGCTTTGTAGATCCTTTGGCAGCTCCAGAATTGGAAACTCTTTTTGATATAATCGAAAGTTCAAGCTTAATTTTTATAAAATTGTTCTAACAGTCTGCAAAAAATAATAAGCGGAATCCAATTAGAAGATTAAGGAATAGCACAATCTGCAATATTAACTGAAATGCCTTAGATAATTTTAGCCTAGCTTATACCGTCCGTTATACATTAAACACGCATGTGTAAACTCATTATGCGCATGCGCATAAAGTTTGTAGCTTTCAGGTCCGGATTATGGACGTCCGGATTACAGACTTTGTACTGTAGTAGTTGGACAATGATTAGCTAGTATGGTAATATATCCTAAATGCATTAGACCTACCAATGGCCGAGCACTTAATACTGCTGAATAAATACAATTACACCTGAGTTTGACCCAAGTGAACAGAGTGGCTGCATGGTTCATTTTCATGATTTTACCCATGTGTAATGTGAATACGAACTAACTTCCATCAGAAAGTTCTGCACAAAGGCATCCCTCTCCTTAGGCAGATAGATCTCATTTGCCTTGTCATACACAAATAACTTAATTTAAGCATATTAGGGATCTTTCTAGGGTTATTAGAAATCCCATGAATGTTCAAGCAGACACTTCCCACATTATTACACTGCCACCATCTGCTTATAGAATACTGATTTAGGATGACGATCCATTGCTTTATGAGATTTTTGTATTATTAGTATAATGGACTAAAGTTATGATGCATATGCTCAGAATACATGTGTCCTGTTTTCTTTGCTCTGGTAATGGTAAAACTTTTAAAACTGCAATCTGAAAACTTTGCATTTTGCAGCTAGGCAGCAGAAAGCATTGAAGGCAGTGGCTGTTAAATTCAGGCCTATTATGTTTTGATGAACAGTCTTGACTGTAGAAACATCTGTATGACTTGTTACAAAGAGCTGTCTTATTGTCAGGTAATATGTGAATAAGTCGAGATCTACTTCAAGCAGCTACTGCTGGTTTCCTGTCAGATTCTTTATGATTAATGCATTTTTGCTGAATTTCATATATTTATAGTGACTCTTCCTAAAGTATAAACAAAAATGCCCAAAACTTTGGCAATTAATGAAATTGAATAACCAGCTCTGCAAGCATTTACTGTTTGCAGGTGATCTTACTTATATTTACTACTCGTACTTTAATATGTATCTCTTTCTTAACATACAAAGCTCTGATACATATGCTATTCATTATGTATGTGAACTTTCTACTAGCACTGAGGGGGCGAATTCTTGTTGATCTACATTTTCTCATCAAAACATACTTCCCTTCTACTCCCACACACATTATGTTTCCCTTCTTAAAATGCACTTCTGAAAAATCATACCTACTTTGTAGAGACAATGTAATATTTAAAAATTACATCACAATACTTTAAAATTAAACCCTTTTTATATCAAAAGAATAGACTGACTTAATTTCAGTTCAGCACCTGACACAAATTAGGCAAATCTGCTACAGAAATATTAGAGATGATTTGAACAGTATATTATGATGCCTCATTATCAAGAAAACAAGTATATGAGTGGTACAACTGCTTTAAATGTGGGCATTGTTTTGTATTAGCTGAGAAATGCTTGGCGACAGAGCGGAATGTTGGCTAATGGCGCATGCGCCTCCGGAATTGGCACTGAAATATATTCTGTGAAAAACTTGATTTTGTGGTACATTCGAAGTTGCGATTCATATGTTACGCTGTAAGGTGGAACCTAGCGCCTGAGTGTCGCTATGGAAAATAAAGATATTTAAACTGTGTAATGTGTGTGGAGTTATTTTATTATGATATACAGCTATCGACGGGAAATAGAATAAGTCATTTCAAGTTTTGTGGCCGATCAGAGCCGGAACAGCTAATGAAGTTATGAGACTGTGAATTTACTTTCGGTTTGTGAAATGAAGAATTACATAGGATACTTCAAGATTGAAGTTCTGTAGAAACAAAAGGGTAAGTACCCTCCTCCTTTTTGAAGCTCATTGTACCATTTTGAAGCTCTTTATTTGTTTATTGACTTTTGCTAATTAAAATGTCACTAAAGGAGATATTAGCGAAAAAACGTACATTGAAAACACAGTTAACAAAGTTAAAACAAAAGGTTGCGGACGAAAATGTCCAAGGAAGTGACTTGGAAGTACTAAAAAAGAATAAATTTAAAGTGTTTGAGACAGAAATAAATTCTAATTTCGATTCTTTGTTCGGGTTATGTACGGAAGAAAGTATTGATGCTTATGTAAAAGAGAAAGAAGAGATTGACGATATTCTCTTAGATGTAGAAGTCGAATTAAATCGTAAATTAGCTAAACTTTCCAAAGAAATTAAATCGGAGCCTTCGGTTTGCACGAATACTGAGAACAATGTTAAATTACCCAAAATTAATTTGCCAACGTTTTCGGGTAACTTACATGAGTGGCTTTCATTTAAAGATATTTTTTAGCCAGTGTTGATTCAAATCCTAATTTAACAGATGCGGTCAAATTACAGTACTTAAAATCTGCGCTAAGAGGAGATGCTAATCGTATTGTTCAGTCAATATCCATAGTTGACTCTAATTATAAATTAGCCTTTTCATTACTAGAAGAAAGGTTCTCTAATCACCGCGTGAACAAGTGTATGCTCATCTGAGACGATTTATGAATATGCATCCTATGCAAAATGAGTCTGCGTCAGCAATATTAAACTTAATTGACATTACAAATGAATGCGTGAGATCATTAGAAGTTTTAAATGAGTGTTAATGGTTTTTCTTCCAATGTATTTGCATACATTTTAGGGCAAAAATTAGATCCTAATACCAAAATATGGTGGGAAAGAAAATTAGAGAAAGAGAATTTGCCTAATTTAACAGATCTTATAGAATTTCTTAAAGATCATGCAAGAACTCTCAATGCTTCAAATAGCTACACACAAAAAACTAACACACAAAAAAAATTACACATAGAGTTACCACTGTTGTTTCTAATGCAAATGAAAAACATATGCAGAATTCGTGTAGGTTATGTAATTTGAGCAATCACAAGCTTTTTAATTGTCCCAAATTTCAGAAATTAAGTGTAAAAAAAAGGGTAGAATTTGTGAAAAAACATAATTTATGTTTTTGTTGTTTTAATTTGCACAGTGTGAGAAATTGCCGTTCTAGTTACTTGTGCAAGAAGTGTAAGAAAAAACATAGCTTTCTCTTGTGTTATCAAAACAAAAATAATTCCATTGGCACCACAGTAGAAAGAGCAGACACTTTAGATCAAGAGTTGGGTGATCAAAACAGCAATGCGTTAAATGTACACGCACCTGCATTTCAAGCTAAAACTCAAAACGAAACCTTTACAGCCGCTACGGGTACTAACAGTGGGAAAAACGTGATTTTATATCTACTGCCTTTGTATTCATTGAGACTAATGATGGAACTTTAATTAAGGTGAAAGCGTTATGTGATAGTGGAAGTGTTTCTTGTTTTTTGTACCACTGAATTAGCGGATATACTTAATTTAAAAAGGGAAAAGACAAATATTTCGGTTTGCAGTATATCAGGTATTTCAACTACGATAAAAAGAAAAGCAGTTGCCCTTAAGTCTGTAATCAGGAACAAACGTATAAAAGGAAACTAGAGGTTTTGGTAATTCCAAAAATAATCAGGTTTAACTCCCGCAAAGTTTATCGATGTTAGTAACCTTGCGATTCCTGAGAAGGTGAATTTAGCGGATCCGGAATTTTATAATACCAGAGAAAGTAAACCTGTTGCTCAGCGCGGAGAAGTTTTTTATGATATGTTATGAGCTGGTAAAATCTATGTTCCTACCACACAGGCTTGATATTACAAAATAGTGTGTTTGGATATATAGTTAGTGGAAATGTAAATGATTCACGGAGAAATAATTTATCGTATTTGTGGGTTAATAAATGATAATTCAGAGAGTGAATTGAAAATGTTTTTCGAACTAGAATCATTAGGAATTAAAGATGATCCTTATTGTCATGAGGAAGACAAAGCACATTG